GAGTTTGATTGGTATTGTTTATTGAAGGGTTATTTTGATTTGGTAAGATCTGCCAGGTTTGAGGTTTCAATGAAACCCAGTAGCTCAAGTTTCCCCAAAAAAAGAGAAGAAGAAGAAATGGGTGGGTTAAGATCGGTTTTGTAGATGGAGTGGAGATGAGAGAGTATTCACGGAAGAAGAAGAAATGAGTTAAGATCGATTTTGCAGATGGAGTGAAGATGAGAGAGCATTCAGAGAATAAGAAGAAATGGGTTAAGATTGATTTTGCAGAGGGTGAAGATGATAGACCAGTTTGCAGGCAACTGGAATCCATTGGAGGGGTTTGGCGTGAAGAAAATGACATGTCATAAAAAAAAAGTCCAGATCAGCATATTTTTAAGTTGTGCTCGCCATGTCATCAAAAATATTTAAAAAATGCCATGTGGCTGAGTTAACGGCCCAAATTGACAAAAGGATTAACGGAGTGCATTTTGTATAATTGAGGGATCAAAAAAATGTAAAAAATTGTTGAGGGACCAAAAATGTGCAACTCACTAAAGTTGAGGAACCAAATTTAGCATTTAACCTTAATTTTTTAAATCTTTTTAGGCCCCAAAGATGGTTCTGTTAAAAAGGCCCGAAGTTAATGCAAATTCCTAGGGGCTAAGACAGAGGGCATCAGATTTTTTGGTTCAGAAATGGAAGCCCAATATTTCTCTGAGTCTGAAACTGCGGAACATTGGATCTCGTTACGGCCTTGTTTTAATATTCTGGGCCTACGGACTTCTCGATTTGGCCCACGAGTGCATATTATATTAGGGGAGCTTGTGACATCGGCCCCACTAACTCCACCGTTGCTCATGAATGGTTTAGAAATTTTCATTTTTCTTCTTTTAGAGTAGATGAGAATACACTTGAAAGTTATGCAAAACTCTATCTATATGTGGTTTGATTTGAATTCAAAATCGATTTCTATATATCTATATAGAGAAGGGATTAATTCATATACAAATTTTACTTATTACATTTCCAAAAATTTTTACTATTTATCTCTTAAGAGAAAAAGTGCAAATAAAGATATTAACTTTATATTTTTTTTATTTAAAGATATTAATTTTATTAGTTTCTAATAAAGATATCAACTTTTA